TATGTTTAAAATGTTTTAAGGTACTTCTGGTTTGAAAGAGAAGGTCCCAGTGTAACTGCACCGCATCCACTCGTGTTTCCGCACTTTGTGATTTTGAGATTGTACTTTGATAATTATTTTTCTCTAATATACTTTGTAATGTTTAAAATGGATTATAGATGGTTTAAAATGGATTAAAGACACCTAATCCAATAGAAATAGACTCGTAAAACCTTCATTTAAGAATATCTTATACATATTATGTATAGATGAAACCTCACCTTAGCAACTATAATCTTTGTTTCCTCCGATAATAACTTCTTATTTGTCACTTTTACAATTGTTTCCATTCTAATACCTCCCTTCTAGTAGCCATGGAAGCCTAACATTGTCTCTGACTACTTGTAATATATGTTGGGCCCAACTGCTTTTGTTGCTGCACACTATTTCCTTGTCAAACTCTTTGGAATCTAGCCACAAAAACAAAGAGATGGTAGTTTCTTATCCAAATAGCCGATAATTATCGAGCCATAGCAGCCTTATCATCCACCCAAGAAATTGGAGAAACCTAAATCTCTTCCCTATCTTTGATTATTTCCGGGTTATGTATGCATCTACATTCTTCCTATACTTGGCACACACCTTCCATAAGCCCTTAGAGTCCAACGATATTGGAAAGTTCGTAACATAGAACATAAAAGAAAGGCGTTCAACATCCTTACCATAAGGGTTACCAATTGGTTTGCTTGTCTCGCAATGACACCATCCACCCTTCACTTTACGAATGTCATCTTCCACAAATGTGTTTTTCTGTCTAATGTCCATCCTTCATCTTCCACTGTTGAAGAATGTTACTCTTATCATGGAGATCGCATGTGATTTACCCCCCCCCCCCCTCCGATCTCTGGGAAGCAGCAACCAGTGAAGTTAAAATCAAAAAGTCAACATCGTTGGTAGGGTTTTTGTTGCATAATGGTTTCACTTTACAAACCAGAAATTATGAAGGAATACAAAATTTTGAATTAGAGAGAGAGAGAGAGAGAGAGAGAGAGAGAGAGACCACAACTAATCACTTGGACAATTCTTGGACACTTGTTTTAGGTGTTAGAACATGTCGGAATTTTGAAACAAACTAACGAGCTAAACTCGTAGATTTGTCATGACCCATGATATTTTACCGTCATTCAAGATTGTTAACATCATGGAATTGATGTTTGACCTGACAATTTTCCAATATAATTTTATATTGCTTAAATTTTCTTACATTGTGATACACTTTACAAATCAATTTCAAATTCTAGATTATGTTTTACCATAAGGGTTCGTTTTGTTTTTCCTATGAAAGATCTTTAACTTTTATTATAAAAACGAACCTTAATTGAAATCTTTTAATCATTGTTTGAGATAAATCAGGTTATTTTGACTTGTCGATCGTCCTTTTATAATTATTTATTTGAAAGTAATATATAGTAAAACGTTTCGTTGTTTGGGACAAAGGTGGCCGTTCCCTGTGATCCTAAAATATATAACAGGACACATACATATATACACAAACTTGTATGTCAAGATTCTTTTTTCCGTTGATTCCAAAACAGTGTTTCATGATATCGTCGCCAGGAACCTCGTGATGTGCATTTATTCTCTGTTTGTCTCCGATGGATGAATAGTAACCCGTCTTTTTCATTACCAAATCTAGAAGAGAAGGTGGGCCCCGTCGTCACAATCATGATTTTACAACCTGCCCTTCTCTCTACCCTCCCTTCTACGTAATACTTTTCGTATATTGTATCCATCCCCCTTACTATGCTCTACTTGCCATTTTTAACCTTGTCCTTTAACCAAAAGAAACTGTTCCAACTGTTAGACTTAGAAAAACAAATTAACTTCAATACATTCACTAATTTACTTTGAACTATACTTTTTTTAAATGGGATTTGAAATTGACTGAAACACAATTTTCTAACAACATGTGTTATATGATACTATATACCAAAACATAAAAAAGTTGGTATATCTTGTCAAGAACAAAGTCAGACCATTTTAATTGTTTGATGTCTTAAAAACATAATTATTCCTTTTTTTCATTGTTTATCATTTGTTATTATAAGGTATCATTAAGGATTTGGCAATATTATTGCATTTTACAGATACTTGTATTTATCTTATTAAAAGTATTATTTTTTAATAGTCTCATTATGAATAAAGTTTTAGTTGAATTATAAGTAAAGTATTACCTTTTAATGACATTAAGGACACCGTAACTGCTTTGCCTAGATTAAAATAATTTAGGGAAAAATTTTATAGCAATGTAGTTTCACAAAATTCAAAGTTTAGCTAGAATATAATCTTAAGAATGATATTTTGTAGTCATTATGATACTAAATACATCTATAACCTTAGCAAAATGGATAGATTTTGTAAACTAAAACCAATCGTAGGAATTTTATATGTGATTTATCTATCATCCGTTTCACCATTCTTTCACCCAAAAAAAGTTTATATTCCTAATATATTTATTTTTTAACTTCTATAAATTTAAAACATCCCTTTACTTTATTAAATTTTTATAAAACTGTATAACATCTTTTTTGTTATAATAACATTATGAACTCTATTATTATAATTTAAATGTTCTAATAAATTCAAAACATAAAAATATCATAAATTATATTTTCATAAAGTATTTATTAGTATTAAAATATATAATTTTTAAATAAAGTCTAAACAATAGGATTATATTTTCTATTTATGCTTAATTAATATCAGTTTTAATATATATAACAGGACATTACAAGTAATACTTATAAGTTATTACATTTAATATAAAACTTGACAATTAAATAACCAGAAATGTATGAATCAAAAACTTGAAGAACCAAAACTGTTACATGAAAATTTCACACTAAAATCAATCTCGGTGTTATATATATTATCCATTTTTATCACAATAATGTAATAAATAATACTGGGTAGAAACAAAAATATGAAAAACATAATACAAAAAATAAGATTTGATGTTGGATTAAAGATGCTAAATCCTTATTTTCTAAATCATATGTTTACATACAGGAACAAAAGTATACAATATCCGTAAAATAAAAATAAAAAATAAAAAAAATATATTATATATATTCAATTCATATTCATATTTAGTCTTAAATTTAAATGCACCAAAATTGTAGTCGTGAAAAAGGAATTGGGGCTAAAGTGTCAATTCCTTAAACTTTGGGCATGTAACGTAACGGCGTCGTTGCCGCCGTACTCGCAGATGATTTGCAACTCAGAAACCCGAGTACTCTCCCCGAACATCTCCGGTAATCATCACTTTGGCTAACCGGAAGTGAATCACAGGATTCCGTAGAAGGAAAAAGTGGCTTCGAAGGAGTCCGACGAATCTGCCGGCTCTTCATGTCCCGAAGATCCATCTCCGGCGGCGGCACCTTCACTAAGCCAAACAAAAGAACGTACCACCGTGAAGAAGAAGATTTCTTTCCCGAACCCTCACGAAGAATCTCCGGCGCCGGTTCAGAACTCATACTTGAGTTCCTATGCAACTTCTTGTAATCCAATGACCGGCTGTTTCTAACGGGTGGACTCACGGTGGTGCTTTTGACCGCTGACAGTGACTCCGACCGCCGGCAACCTGGAGGTTCTTCTTGTTTCTTTCTCCGGTGAGATTTCTCTTTTTGCTGCGGTGGATTTTTGGGGTGGCGTTGTTCGTCTATGGGAATAAGTTTGCCGCAGAATATGATGTCTTCTGCATGAGACATCATGTTTTTGTCGGAGTAATCACTCAACCCTTCCCGGAAAAACTCAAAAAAATCTTCTGTTGCTAATGATGGTGGATTCCGTTGATCTTTAAAGCCTGAGACCCCGAGATCTTGTGTTACTGGGAAATCGGTGAGGGAAAGTGTTTCCACTTCGGCTTCGGCTTCGGCTTCTTGATCATTTTGAACATTGTTATGGATAATTTCGTCACCCATTTCACACAGTAATATGGTGTTTGTGTGTATTGAGAGAGAAAGTGTATGGAGATTGTGAAATGGAATTGATAAAGAACAAAAAGAGAAATATAAAGGGGTGTGGATGAAGGACGAAAACAAAAGAGGGTTATTCTACAGACTTTCCATTTTGAAAATTCATATTTTTATAATTTTATTGATAAAATTTGAATACGTACGGCTTTTATTTAAGTTTTATTTATTTAAACTAATGGAATGTGTATACAACATATGTTCAACAAGATAACCTATATTTTTAAACTATATTTTTAAACAGCAAATATAATATATTTTTAAACTATTTATTTTACTTATATCTACAACGGATCAAGAAGACAAGACAACACTTTATTGGGTTAGACTAGAAGCTTTTTGATATCTTTTCTTCTTACTTATTATAGGATTTTAGGAACAAATAAATTATGATCATCAATGTAACGGAAGATAAAATCAAATTAGATGAACACACGAGAGTAAATAAGATCGATGATTGCATTAGAGAGCAAAGAAAAGTTTGATACATTGATGAGAGAACTAATTTGCAAAAATATTCTTTCTATCTAACTAAATCTCCTATATATACTACGTAAGAGAAGAATTGGTTAGGCTTTTACCAATGAGGTTAAGATACCTAGGTCAATAGCCAAAACTGTAAACCTACGTAATAATTAAATATATGAAAGGCAAACAACCAGATTGCATATAGCAAAGTAAAGACTAAACATTACATGACTTGTGAAACCTTTCACATACAAACTTGACACAATCAATACAATTTGTGAGACCTCACAATCTTCCCATTTGTGATGAGTCGTGAAAGTAGTCATCACTGTTGTTCATCAAAAACCTTTGGAATCACCCCCTTGAGAACCATGTGAACAGTCATCCACCACTTTAACATACCTAAACACACTTGACATCATTTGTGGTGTTTAACTTGCATACTTTTGCCCTTGAAAGCATATTTGAAAGAGTTTCAGAAAGGAACAGATGTTTGTCTCGTAAATGCATCATAATGTTTCACAAAACTCCATTCTCATTTGCCTTGTAGACCACTCCCCATGCATATTTCTGAATAAAACCAACCCTAAGATTTTCCGATCCTTCAGGTTCTGGAAATGGTTTCAAAATAGGCACTATCTTTAATACAGTTGTGATCTCCACATCCATCTTGGAGATTTCTTGAATATATGTTTTGATCATTATGTACAAGTGTTGAATAATAGGCTCATACTTTATCTTTACTTTGGACAAAATACTGAACATAATACTCCAATCGTATGGATTCATCAAAGGAAGATCAGCAAGGGTAAAATCAAACAACTCATGACTAACTCCTCTACGAGCCTTAAAAGCAACATTTGTAAACTCATCGTCTTTAAATGGTTTTCCAACCTTCAATCAAGATATCCTCATCAAAGTCTAAATATCATACTGAGGCTTTGAATAAGTTGCATAAAACTTGAACAATTTCTTATTCACTGTAGTATTACTCATTGGATCTTTCATAGTGTGATCAAAACACCGAAACAAGAAAGCCTTTGCGGTCATCGGAAAATCTACTTGTTATCATGATCCTTACTCATCGAAAAAGAAATATTCGTTTCCATCCAATAGATTTTCAACTTCTTGATCACTTCCGCTTGCATTCTCTCAACATTCCAATCAGTCCATAATGTTCTTCTTGAAGCTTCGGTGGCCTCTTTGTTTCGAATTTCATCATCTTGTTGATCATGTTTGACTAGGAGAGCATTTAACTCATCAAGTTCTTTATCTCTTGCTACTTGAGCCTTTTTCACAACCTCAACATCTGTTGGATCAACTTCCATATCAGAAACAATCTTAACATTTCCCTTGCCAAAAGCTACGTTATCCTTACGAGGGACATTCTCCAAAACCTTTTCCGTTCTCTCATTCACTTATTCTTTTCCAATAACAACCCTTTTTTGTCTTTTCAGACTTTTATTCATTTTTGGCACTTCATAGGGATTTTTCAAATTGATTGGCTCTTTGTTCGGAATTTGTTCATTTGTTTCTTCATTTATTGTAGCTTCTTTATCAACCCCCTATCCTCCTTGTTTTGAAGTAGCCCCGCTACTCGGAACACTAGAGAACTTGTTGAGTTGCGATAAAGTAGGCTGTAACTTTGCATTGAGAAGATGAGATATGTAATCAACATAAGGAGTATCTTTTGTTTCAACAATGTGAACCAAACATTTTTAATTTCAAACATGTGACTTTTCACGAGCAAAAGTTCATCATCCATCTTCGTAAGATTATAATGAACATTCTTCAACTCTTGTTTCATTGCCATAATCTGCTGTGTCTTTACAACAATAGTATCCATCAGCTTAGATTCACCCTCGTAGTTTCATTGTAAAGCAAGAATAGAATTTGACACAGAGGTGTGGTGATCGACATTATACTTCTGAATAGAAAACCGAAGTGTCGAAAAAACTTCTTTTTCTTCTGTAATATGAGTTTGAAACTCCTTAACAGTCTTCTCAACGTCAAAAAGTTTCTTGCCAATGGTATCGTGAACATCTTTGAGTGTAGCCTCAACTTTTTTAGATAACAACTTAACATCCAAAATAGATTTATCAACTTTCTCAGTTGTATCGGAAATCAACTTCTATTGTTGTTCAAAAAGCTTTGCATTTTCTTTGGCGAGATTTTGCATAATACTCTAATGAATTGCCACCATGTGCTCAAAGTTAGTAGTATAAAATGTGCCAACATGACGAAGTAAAGAATCCAACTTTATATTAAAAAATGATTGTCTTGACGAGTCATAAGCTTAGACTCATCATCGTTAAATGTTGTCACACGAATTGCAACATATGGTTCTGAAATGTTTGGTTCATTAGCAACCATGAAATCAACATCTAATTCAAATAGGGATGTGTCATGTACTAATGGAGAACTATTAATTGGTTCTAAATCAGGAACTGATGTAGAAACTGGTGCAACACTTGTTGAAATAGGTTCTGAAGTGATATATTCATCAACACCTGGATCAGCTTCAAAAACAATTGGTTCATAAATTAGAATCTCTGAGGTAGATGTGGCTTGAGGTTGAGAAATAGATGTAGTCCTAGTGGATTCTATGAAAATGGGTTCAAGCTTACGTTGAGAAATTGGAATTTGAATGGTGAAATCGGTAAAGGTAGTTTCAGGTATTGTAAATATGATGTGAACATGAATGGTAGTAGTGGGAAAGGAAGTATTAGCAATTAGATTTGAAGTAAAGGCTTTGTTGGGAACAACAGGTGGTTGTGAAAGGTTTAAAATTGGATTCTTCAAAACAATTTGAAAGTTTTTTGACTCCAACATAGTCACAACCAGAGCAAAAAAAAAGGAACATATTCAAAAGTAAAGATAGGAGTGGATACCTTTGAAGTTTCAGTCTGAATAACTTGTTGTTGTGTTTGCTTTGGAATGTCAGACTCATTCGCAGTAGTATCACTAGTCTGAATATCATCATTGAAAAGAACATCACTAATAGTATCTTCATCCAGCTCCTCGGTGACAACAGTAGATTTTGCTTTCTTTGATTGTTTTTTATTTGGAGTTTTAGATTTTTCAGGTTGAACCTCAACAATCTCCTTTCCTTCCTTTTTACACCAACCCTTTTTGGAGCATCACCAGCATCAAGGACCACTTGAAGAGTAGGTGCAATCACTCTTTCCCCGAGTTTAGGAATTTTCCTGTAGATCTGAATAATCTCGCTGTATATTGAAACTCGTTCCAAAATTACTTCAGGAATGGAGCCAACAAAGTGAAAATTCCTGCTATCCGAAATAACGAACATGGATGTATTCATCTTCTTAATATCAATCATGACAGCATCCACCACTTGTGGAATTTTGTAGTGATTTAGAGCTTACTTCACTATGATGGACCAAAATCATGTACATGAGATTTTAGTATCCTTGGACTTAGACACCAGACTTTGCACAAATTGAGCCCATAAAATATGCCCAAAATCCACCTTTTCACCAGAAAATAATCCACAGAGCAAAGTGTGAAAGAGATTGCTCGCACAAGTAGCCCTCTCAGTGAAACACTTGAACAAATTGGTGAAAAGAGCATTCCATACATGAGGCAATCATGAAAAACTATCAGAACCAGTACCCCATTTGATGATAAGCCCTATCAATACTTATAACAGGGACCAAATCAGCGTGGATGGAATTAGCATTAGGGGTTAATCCTAATAACTTGTAGAAGTTAGTCTTTGTAATCGTCGTATAATGTCCTTGAACATCAAAACTAATCACCTCTGATTTCTTGTTTTAATTAGCATTGGAATAAGCCGTATTCAAATTAGATAGAGGAATAGATTGAAATGTATCAGTTCTTTCTTCGAAATTGAGTATTTCAAACACTCAATCAAGGTTTGAATGGTAGGGTTATACTTTAAATAATCTAAATTAGCAATCATGTTCTGATTAGGTTTCCCAACAAGAGAAATATATGAATATGTTTGATCCATGAATGAAATATGATCACTAGAAGAATCCATTTGATCTTGACTAGTAGAACTAAGAGAAACGAAGAACTGATGGAAATAACTTGGAATGTGTAACGTCCCAAAAATTAAGACTAAAAACTTTTGTTTTTAAATTAAGACAACTATTATCCAAAACATCATCATAGAAATCATAGTGAATCAAAGTGTATGAATAACATCCCAATACATCAGAGTAATATAAAATGGGGAATGAGGTGGTGTGTGAATTGCAATCATCACGGGCTCTTCCCCTTTGAGCAAGAGGTGCCTAAAAACGTAAATTGAAAAGTGCAAGCACAAAGCTTAGTGAGATCACCAAAATACCACATCCCACACATATAAAACATATAATGGGCCCCGCCCGACATCGAGCCCACTTGGTAAACAAATTTATCGGTCATTAGGCCCCGCCTGATATACATATAAACATATCACACATAATCATACAAAAACATGCAATAATCACAAAGATAAATAGCATACAGGATAGTCATTGGTCCCTACCCAGTAAACATATAAACAGATGACACATAAAAGAGTCATGCAGATAACTAGCATCCTAACATATCAATCCATGGGTCGGCATTAGTGCCTTCGACCCGCTAAACACGATGAGGAAACACACATCTAGCTACTGAAACACTCAAATGAATCTCAGTCTACTGGTCCAAAAAAATCTCCGTGCTAACATCATCAAAATAATATCCAATTAATAATTGGATCTCAACCCATAATCAAGAATCTAAGCTACTTTACCCATATTTAGGGTAAAAGACCATTTTACCCTTTTTCCTTACTTCGCCCAAATCGAAAGCTCTACCTAACTACTCAAAAGGCCTAATTTCCTAAATGGAAACCCGAAGCCCAATATGGCCCAATCATCCAAATTGGGCCCAAAACCCATCACGGGCCTAAATCCAAGAGAGCCCAATACAATAGCAAAAGCCCAAATCATAATTTCAATATCCCAACAAGGCCCAACCTTAAAAGTCCAAAGCATGGCCCAAATCCATGAAATCAAGGCCAAGAGTCCATATGATTAGTACGTGGGGCGTACTTAGCTCGTACGCTTAGCGTACTCTTTCTGGGGCCAATATGCTAAGCGTACGAGCTAGGTACGCCCAAAGCACTCCCCAGACTACTAAACCAATCCATTAAGCACTTAATCAGTTAAGAGCTCTTGCAAAACTCTTAGATCTAGTCCTAAAGGGTGGCTTAATACATAAAGTTGGCAACTTTACACCCATGCATGACTTAATGGGACCCAACACTCAAAAAGAAGCTTAATAAGGCTCTTAATACTTGCATGGAACAATATCCTCCATAATTTTTTCATTTTTATGAACAAGGAACCTCAATGGAGCTAAGATCTAACATCCATGGCTTCTGGAGTAGATCAAAAGCTCAACTTTAACTCAAAAGACTCAAAAATTCATAAACAACACCATAAAATGGATCTAGCACAAATGACCATCAAGGTGAGAGCTTTTTACCTTAAAATGCTTACTAAGGTAAAGATAACTATGGATCTACAAGCTCAAGCTATTCCTAAGCATCCTTCAAGTGTTCCTCTTCTTCTTTTTCTCCACAAAACACCAACAAACACATTTTCAAGCTTAAATCTCACCAAATAGACTTAGGGTTTTGATATTAGGGCATAAGGTGATGGAAGTTGATCAATAAATGTCCAAGAGGTCCTATAAGTTGTTTAAATAGGGTTCAAACCCTAAAAATTAGGGTTTACCCCTGCACCACGTACAACATGCGTACTCCACGTATGCCCCGCATACATGGGTGGAACCCGTGATCAACTAATAGGCTAATATACTAACAGTACTCATAGAGTACGCCCCGCATACTAGCTAGGGACCAAAATGTTAACAATTTGTATTAAAGGAGTTAAAAGGAAACATACCAAATTGCAAATGTTATAGAACGCATTTGAATTGTAACGACCGAAAAATCCAACCAATTTAAATTTTTCAAAAACAACCCGATTTCATTAAATTGTTTACAAAAAGGTTTTCAATACAAATCATTTAGAGTATTCCCAGAATCACATTGCTACAAAATCATGAGGAGCAGTACGATCATGCCTTCGCCTTGCGACAGTCTCCTGAAGAACCTGAAAACATTAAACCACAACTGTAAGCCCGGAAGCTTAGTGAGATACCCCCAAAATACCAACCTCGAATACCATACACATATCACTCTATCTCATAACGAATCACATAACAGCCATGTATATCGGGTCTACTGTGGGACTGGTCCGCCTTGCAGGGCCTTCAGTCCACCAGGTCCAAACTCCGTGTCCAATCATGTCCCTCGAGTCTGCAGTGTGGTTGGTCCGCCCGTACTGGGCCTTCAACTCACCTGGTCCACTCTCTGAGTCTACAGTATGACTGGTCCGCCCGCATCGGGCCTTCAGTCGGCCTGGTCCACTCTCCGAGCCTCGGCACGTCTGGTCCGCCCTCGTGGGGCCTACAGCCTATCCGGTCCGCTCGCTGGGCCTTCGGAATAACCGGTCCGCCCTGGGTATCTTGGCCTACAGCACAAAGCAGGACCCGCCTCAACCCAACTCCAGTCCAAACAACCATGTGCACATAAACATACAATCACATAACAATTCATATTCAGGCAAACCGATCTAGCAAATCACATAACACAACATACTCTAACAGGATACCGACCTAACCGGTCACTAGCATAGCATCATCCTCTCTACCAGGATACAAACATATCAAAACAATAACATAACAATAGATACCCGGATCTCAATCCGATAAAAGGGCCAACCTTGGTACCTTAGACCCTGTTGATATAGTGAGGATAACTCACCTCGAAACTGCCGGCTGAAAGGATAAGATTCCGCTGCCCCGAACTCCGACACGAACTCCTTCACTGAACACCAAAACACTTAACTCAGTATATATACCCTTATTTACCAAAATACCCCTGGAAGACAACTGGTCAACCCTTGGACAAGGTCAAAGTCAACCCCTGACTGACTCTACTCGCCGAGTCAACCCGATGACTCGCCGAGTCCCCAAGCTCAGAACTTACCTCAATCCGCTACCTGACTCGCCGAGTCCAACCACTCTGAGTCCACTCGCACCCAACTCACCGAGTCATCCCTTGACTCACCGATTCTCGACTCATCCAGAAAATATTGGGACTCTTCGACAAGACTCTCCGAGTCCAAGAACAGACTCGCCGAGTCTAAGGCTATCTTCAACCTACTCGCCGAGTTGTTCATCCAACTCGTCGAGTTCCAGCTCATCTTCAAGCAACTCGTCGAGTCCACCCTTGTGACTCGCCGAGTACCACCGGTCTGAATCCATACAGAAGCATTCCAGGCCATGCAATTGATCCAAAACATAGATCTAGCCTCCTACAACCCATCCATAACGTAAAGTGGCAAACTTTACGTGAATCCATGAAGATCTAGGAATTATACACATTAGGGCTAAAGTTTGGGACAAGATAGATTCTCTACATACTCAATCACAGGGACTTTCAGGCATTCCAACCCTCCTCCATTCCAGATCTGAGGTAGCAACCTCAGATCTAACCTCTAGACTCCAAAACACCAAAAGATGTGATCTCAACACCCCCAAAAATGAAGAATCTAGACAATAGCAGCTCAAGAACGAGATATTACCTTCAAAGAATGCCCCAACAGCAATGAAACTCGAATCCAAGCAAAACCCTTTGATCCAAGACCTTCCTCCTTCAAGATTTCTTCAACTAGCACTTCTCCAAGCTCCAATTTGCCCAACAATGGTGTTCCTCCACGAAATTAGGGTTTCTGGGGCTCAAGGGGAATCAAAGAGGCTGGGGAGGAAACATAATGTTCTTTATATAGAGCTCAACCCCGAGAATTAGGGTTTTCTCCACCCAGCACCTACTCGCCAAGTCCATCTTTGGACTCGCCGAGTAGGCCATTTGACACGCGACCAAAGTCGCGACCCTAATCGCCGAGTCCATCCATGGACTCGCCGAGTTGCCCTCCAAAACTTACACTTTTAGTCCTTCAACTCTACTCTTGCTATTCTGGGATGTTATAATTCTCCCCCACTTAAATTAGGCTTCGTCCTCGAAGCCTTTGGCAACTCAACTTCAAAATACTTTCCACGACGCACCACCTGACCTTAACTGGACCAGGTCCCTCAAGGCATACTCAACGAATCTCAAACTCACTTTCTCTTTCCATACGGTGTTCTGACCACCATCTTAAACCGGGCATCGGCTGTACCCTCTGATAACTGCACTTAACAACCGAGAATTACCCATAATCC